GATTACTAAAATTGAAGTTCATAATTTAAGAATTAAATTATAGTGGTAGAAAATAATATAAAAGTATTTATATTATTTATACTCGTACAATTTCAAAACTATTTTCTGTAATAATTTGTTTCTGACTTAACGGATATTTTGATATTATTGACGACAAAAGTTTAAAATCATTGATTTCCTTACCTGTCCATTCTTTTTGTTTGACGGAGTTGAATTGTTTGGACCACGCAACATGAAAAATTTTGTCAAGGTCCTGAGAGAATGTGCAGACAACTGAACGTGCGAAAGAAGACCACTGAGTCAAGACCGTATACACGTGCAACTATTTATATGGACACACACCATTTGTATGTTATGATTGGATAATTTAAATTAGCAAGCAGTGACACTAGTGAGACTTTATTAAACTAATTTTTTCTCATTTTTTTGTTAAGGCGTGAAATATTAATTTGTACTGTAAATGGTACTTGAAATATTATAATGTACTGAAAATGTACTAAAAATCTAAATGTACTTTCAATTTACTGGAAAGGGCAAAATATACCAGAAAAGTACAAATATACTAGGAATGGCAACACTGACAGAGGGTGGGGAATGGCAACACTGACAGAGGGTGGGGAAAGACCTCCCAGTTCAGGTCCAGTAGCTTCTGCCTAGCTGTATGTGGACGTGCATTGTCTTGCAACAGGATGGTGTTCTGGATGGATTTCCGCCAGTTTCTGCTGCAGACGTCAAGTTGTTTGCAGTAGAAAGTTGTGTTGATGGTTATATTTTGCAGCAGCAACTCAAACATGATGATTCCTTTAGAATCCTAGAAGACAGAGAGCATGATCTTCTTGGGTTAGGGATCTCCACTTTTGTAGCATTCGTACCAATCGTATGCAGTTCTTCTGGCAGCAATGTCCAGGTCTAATGCAGCATTGATGTCAGTGATAGAATTGGCTGCTTTTCTTTGAAACAATAGTCATAAACGAGGAGCAGGCAAACTTGCTCTTTGGTTAGTGGATGCTTGTTGGTCATGGCAGAGAGGACTGGATTTGATATTTTCTTATAGCATGTACTCCGACCTGTTTATATACTACCATGGAACATTCTAGAATGTTCCAGAAAAAAGTTATTCTAGAAAGTTCCAAAAAGTGCAAGAACTTTGTTCAATCAGATAATTTAGAAAGTTTTTAAAATGAATTTCACACAGATGGCACTGTATATAATTTTAACTTAAAGCCATGCTCTTAGTGTTTCTACTCTATAATATTCTTTTTTGAAAAAGAGATAAATTACTCATTTTAAGCTATTATTAAAATTTTATATTGCAGTATAATTGAAAATTGTTGGATTCTTCCTGGTTCCATTAACCTCCTGTTTGTGTACCAAGAAAGTCGTGCAAGAACTTTTCCCAGCTTTTATTTGTATCTTACTTAACATTTGTAATTATTTGAACTTTAGGAGCCATTTCCAAACACATTGACAACTCCAAGGGTGTTTAGATTTTTTTTAATCCACAAAATAAAGTAGCAATATGATCATTCATACCATTCGTTTCACTTAAATAAGGTTATTTAGTTCAATAAAATATGCAAGCTAAGATCTCATTTTGTACTTCATATTAGAAGCAATTTCAATATTCTACTTATTCCATACTGCTGATGGTTACAATGATATATTTTCTCATGAGGGTTCTGCTCATAAATTTTAGTGAATAGTAGAGTAATTGTTTGAGTTACTAGAAATCTTCACCTGTTAAGATTTATGTCAAGATGTATCACTAATTCTGCATTGTAAACATATATATTCATTACAACATTAATGCCAATGTTTTTTATCACTGAAACTTGAACAAAAAATTTATAAGTAATAGAAAGTTCACAGTTTAGGAAGGAAATAAAAACTTTATTTTAAAAACAAGAAAGTTTAGTGAAGAAATGCATACATATTAAATAACTAATTAGTCTTATCTAAAACAAAATTAATTATATGCTTCTGCAATAGCTATATCTTTATTATCTTTCAATCTTAAGACACTAAAAACATTCAAAGTTTTCATTTCATTCTTATTTACTCCTTCATTTTTGAAAGTGTTATTACTTTATAAAAACTCTTGAAATAATGTAACTAAGTTTGATAATGTCTGTCATTCTTTCAAGAATTTATTGTAAGTTATATCTTTAAAAAATATACTATTAATATGATAAATTTGCTTAGGTTTCTTAATCTTTTTTGTTTCATGGATCACTTTACCAGTCAGGTGAAGGTCATGGACCCCCTTCTCGGAATAATGTTTTTAAATGCATAAAATAAAATTACAAATAAACCAGTTATATAGAAATGCATTTATTTAAAATAAAAAACCTGTGATATAGTAATTTACGTGCTTATTTCTTAACACAATAATTAACAATTATGTAATAATGAATGAATAACAAACAAGAATTAAAGAACATAAGTACATGGTGGCAAAACATCTGTAAAGTACTGTATTGACAGCTTATGCCATCCAACAAAGTGTATGAGCTAAATGAGATGAAGCTAAGATCATTAGGCCCTTTAAAAGCAATAAATCACTCAAGCACTTACAGATGTTAGCAATTCATAAAGAAAATATAGAACAAACTGTATCAACCATAAGGATGCCACCTCCTTATTGGCAGCTTGAAAATCATTGTACAAACTCTTAACTTTTACTTGGTGCTATGATATTATATGCTCTTTTACATTATGTTTTTTTTTTTAATCTTATTTATGTATTATGTTATTTATTTTTATTTCCATTCAATTTAAATTTTATGCATGTTTTATTTTTTTAGAATGTTTTTGTGTTCTTTTTTATGTTTGTAAAATGTTTAATACTATTGATAATATAAAGACCTATAAGACTAGGTCAAAAATATTTTTGGTCCATTAAAATTTATTGCTGGAGTTATTCAATGTATGCTTATTTCATAAATTAATTTTTCATAAATTAATTTATCATAAATAATTCCACAATAAACCCAGTTTTACAAGACTCAGACAAATAAAAACTAAATTTATTTATCATAAATTACAGTAGACCCCCTATAACACTGTTGATAATTCCGTTTTATATGAATTCCATGTTGTACGAGTCACTTAGATTTTACAAATTTGTGTGCCATTCACAGCCAGGTGCATGTATTTGTAAAATTTAGGTGACTTGTACAACATGGAATTCATATAAAACGGAATTATCAACAGTGTTATAGGGGGAGGTCTACTGTAATTCACAAAAATAAGATACAAAGTTTTCATAATTCATCCATTTTCATATCATAGGAGGAACAATTTATCTGGCATGGTCCTAACCTACCTTTTCTTGATGCTCTTCTCTGCCTGGAAATGCTAAAACTGTTTAAATGTTTAAAAATTTTTTCCTTAACCTCACCTTTTAAAAAATTAAAATTTAAAAAAAAAAAGGTTAAGGAGTTTTAAATATTTTAAAGGCAATTTAAAACTTTTAAAACTTAACTATACTAAGTAAAATCTTCCTGTGATATAAAAACAGATGAATTATGAAGCTATATTTAAAAAGAAATCAGAAAATATCCACTTTTTCAAGAGAGAAGATCAAATTAGTTTTCATTAATCCATGACAATGATTATTTGTTCTACTTACTTTATTTATTAAAATACTGTTATTTGAATAGATATACATTGATGAAGTATTAAATAAAATATTAAAAATAATAAAGGAATTTTTGAGAAATGTAAATTTTATAACAAATATAAAAATTCAACACAATATTTATTTAATAAAAAAAATACTATTTTATAGTTTTTGCTTCTTTTTAGGAAAATCAAAATCAAATTCTTCTAAAATATTATCATTAGTATTAAACATTTTTTTCAGAAATTCACTTTTAAATGCTTGACTAGCGGACTGGGTAGTTGAAAGACTGTTCTTATTACTCATAGTTATGGTTACTGTATCATTTACATTGCTGAGAGAGATACTATTTTTTGGTCTTTGTACGTAAGCAAAATTTTTCAGTTTAGAAACTGTTGAACATGATGGCACAGAATTATTTGATTCAGTCTTTGCTAATATCAATTTCTTTTCTGAAAATGCTTCATCTGATAATAGAGGTGCATCATTTGAGACATTTTTAATATTTGTAGGAAATAAGCTCTCGTTTTTTTCTTTCATTCTATTTGTCTTCTTAAATGAAATTTTTTTGTTCTTAAATGAAAATTTTTTCTTAATATCATTGATATTAATATTTTCAATATCAAAAATTTGTGAAGATGACAAATTTGATTTAGTACATAATGTATTTTCTATACTTTTACATTTTGTTTCATTGTCTTTAAAATTCTGTTCACAAACACTATTCCATGAATCAAAAGTAGACATTTTATTTATATTTGAATCATAACTTTGAGAATTTTCATGATTTTCTCTTTCATCTTCAGAATTAAGAGTAATAAAATCTTTATCAATATCTGCAGAAATTATGTTTAGTATAGAAGTATTCGATACATTGTCATCAGTGTAAACAACAGATTTTATTCTATCAGATATACTGCTAAAACTTTCATTTATTTCTTTCTCTAATATATCATCAAGACCCAAATACTGTAATACACTTTTTACTGAAAACAAAAATATTAAAAATTCTCAATAGAATATAAATAAGCATATGAATATTTTTTTCTTCAAATAATCAATTATTATTATTATTATTATTATTGTGAACAAATAAAATTTTTTTTTATAAAACAATTTAAAATACCTTGATTTTTATATTCTAATTCTGGATCAGCTGGAAAAGTTGTATGAAGGACATCTAATCCATCAATTATAGCTGAACTTTGCATTGAAGATTCCATGATTATTACTGTATTTACAGCATCTTGCACTATCACTTCTTCTCGAAACATTAATCTAGCATGTGCTTTAAAAACATTACAGTCAAAAATTTATTATTTAAATAATTTTATACAAAATTTAAATTATTTTTATAAATTATTTACAATTACACATTTACTTTGTTAATTTTTATTAATGAAATATAAAAGCAATAGAGCTATCAATAAACTGAGTTACATAATATTGGATAAATCTCTCAGGCTCAGTTATTGTAATTAATAATGTAACTGCAATGCAATACTCTGAGCTTTTAAGAGTGACAATGAGGTTTAAACTCAGCTCTTACAACAAGATGGTTACCATTGAGCTGAATTTAAACCTCACTGTATTGTCCCTTTTAAAAGCTCAAAGCCTAAATATTTTCCTTATTTACTATATATGATAAAACTGTATATATATAGATTTTTTTTTCAAAAAGGATCTGAGTTGAAGGAAGTATGTATTGAAAATATTTTTCTTTTTTAACATTTTAAAGAGGTGGAAGGAAAGGGGAACCCACCATCTTACTCTATCCCATGAATTACAAACATGGTAGTGCACAGAGAAAGCATAAGGAATTGGAAACATGGCACTGCTGCTTTGCAGAGGGCCAGCCCCAGCAGGAGAGAAAATAATAGCAGGGCCTCTTAGGTCGTCAACAAGTGACATCCATGCAGGATCGGCACCTGAAATGTACATTCACTTAAACTGGGAAAGTTGGAAAACTTGAAGAATGAGATGGAGAGATGATCGACATCCTGGGATTAAGTGAGGTCAGATGGCTGGATGGAGGTGATTTTTGGAGCAATGACTAAAGAATTATTTATTTGGCATTGAAGGATGGACAAGCAGGAGTGGGATTTATTTTTAACAGAGAGTTTGGGAAGGCAGTCGAGGGAAGTTGGAGATACAACGAAAGGATCATTTTAGTTAAGATATGAGCAGAACCCAGAAATTTGACGTTGATACAAGTCTATATGCCAACCACAAGCTACAAGGACGAAGACATAGAAGTATACGAGCAAATTGAAGAAGTTATAAGGAAAATGCCAGATAATAGAATATGATCACCATGAGAGACTGGAATGCAATTGTCGGAGAAGGCAAGGAAGATAATATTGTTGGTAACTTTGGATTAGATAAAGAAACACCAGGGAAACCAAACTAGTAGAGTTTTGCAGAAGTCACAATCTCATTGTATCCAACACCTTGTTCAAGCAGCCAAAGAGAAGAAGATATACTTGAACTAAACTGGGAGATACAGAATGGTTCTAAATTGATTACATCCTTGTGCGACAGAAGTACAGGAACCAAGTGAAACTGAGCAACAGTTACCCTGGTACAGATGTTGACTCAGACCACAATCTGGTATTAATGAAGAGCCACCTATACCTTAAGAACAAATGATAAAACCATACAGAAGATGGGACATACGAAAATTAAGAAAGGACACCAATGTTCAGAAGGAATTCAGGCAAACAGTAATACATGAGTTGACAAATTTACATAAGGTAACAAACAATGACATAGATTTGAAATGGGATAATATCAAAACAGGAATAGTGAAAGCTGCAGATAAATATATTAGTAAAGAAAGCAGAATAGTTTACAAACCATGGATTCCAGCAGAAATACTGAAAATGATGGAGCAGAGAAAGCTTTACAAAATAGCATACAACAAGGAAAACTACAGAAGATACAGGAACTTAATTAACAAAGCAAAGGAAGAATGGATTAACATAGCATGTAAGGAAATAGATAAGAATATGAAAAAAAGGAAATATGGAAAAGGTGTACAGGCAGGTGAAGAGACAGTTTGGTGAAGGAAGGAAATATACAGCTACAATTATGGATAAACAGAAATATCCTAATTGAGAAAAAACAAATCGCACAATGATGGAAGGAATACATTGAAGAACTTTACAAAGGGGACCAGTTGGACGAGACACTGATTGAAGAGAAGAAACTGGTTGATGCAAATGATTTGGGACCATCAATCTTAAAATGTGAATTCTACAAGACACTGGAGGGAATGAAAAAGGGCAAGGCACCTGGTATAGACCAGATACCTGTTATTCTGTTGTTCTGTTATTTATTAAAATAAAAATATACATAGTACATCCCGGTGCCGTGAAACATAACCAGGTGGGATCAGAAAAAAAGGTTGAAAAATACAATGTAATGAGGAATACAATAAAATAAACAATTGGAATATACAAGAGGTATACCACAGTTCGAGGCATGCAAAGGTGCTACCTGCACCTGAACAAGAAAACGCGTATGTACAAATTTAGGATTGGATTACAAAATAAAGAAGAGACATCCATCAGTAGAAAGGGACTGTGGTTCTTCTGAAGTACATGTCAGTTAGGTGAATGAAGGCATCATATGAGTCCTTATGCTCAAAAATGCAGTCCAGATTTTGAGGAGGCCAGTTCACATCGTGTGCCTCCAGGATAGACCAGATACCTGCAGAACTTATAATGGCCCCAGGAGAAAACACTAAAACCAACCTGTATAGACTCATCAACAAAATGTATGTAATTGGCCAACTGCCAAAAGATTTTGAAAAGAGCATAATGGTTTCAATTCCAAAGAAGAAAGGAGCACAGAAATGTGAGGATCATAGGAAACTAAGTTTAGTCTCACACATATCAAATATCCTGTGTGGCATAATCTATCAAAGGATGGAAAGAAAAGTAGAAGAAAACCTATTAGAAGACCAACTTTGTTTCAGATGAAATAAAGGTACATAGAAGCTATACTAAGCCTAAGGATGCTCATCGAACAGCTTACTTGGGTAAAAAAGCAGGCACTCATAGTGTTTATAGACAGAGAGAAGGCCTTTGACAATGTGGACTGGAGCATAAGGTTCAGATCACTGAGGAACCTGAAGGTAGACTACAGGGATAGGCGAATACTATACAAGCTATATAAGAATCAAACTGTAGTTATAGGAAGAGAAGAAGAAAGAAGAAGGCAATATAATAAAAGGAGTAAGACAAGGTTGTGGATTATCACCACTATTGTTCAACGTATACATAGAGGTGGCAATGAAAGAATTCTACACTACTAATACAAAAGGTATAAAAGTGAACGGAAAGTTGTACAGTACAATAAGATTTGCTGACAACATCGCAATGATAGCAAAAGATGTAGATGATCTACAGATAGCTCTTGAAAATTTAAACGAACAATTTAAAAGAAAACGTGGGATGAGAATAAATAGGAAAAAAACAAAGATAATGAGATGTTCAAAAAAAAAAATGAGGAGGAATGAACATCTATTTGGATGGTAAAAAAATGGAAGTCAATGAGTTCATGTACTTAGGAAGCATAATTACCTCAGATGAAAGGAGAAAAAGAGATGCCACAGTGAGAATAGCCCAAGCAAAACAGGCATTCTATAGGAAATGATAGATATTAACATCGAAAAATATATCAATCGATGTTAGGAAGTGATTCATTAAAAGTTTCACCTGGAGCATAGCATTGTATGGTTCGGAGACATGGACACTCTGAACAACAGAGAAAAGAAAACTGGAGGCCTTTGAGATGTGGTGCTGGTGAAGAATAATGTGAGTGTCATGGACGGAGAGAAAGAGGAATGAGGATGTTTTGGAAGAGGCAACAGAGAAGAGAGAGATTTTGAGAATGATACAGGAAAGGAGAGGAGAAATGACATGTTTGGCCACCTAATTTGACACTCAGAACAGATGAATATTTTATTGGAAGGAAAGATAAAGGGCAAAAGGAGACATGGAAGACCAAGAGTGGAATATCTCAATGAGTTATTATGAAAAAGGCCTTACCAACAGATAAAACAGCTAGCTAAGAGAAGAGAGAAGCTATAAGACTGCACACATCCATGTTTGCACACCAACCACCGGTTGAGGAGAGAGACAGAGAGATAGATAAAACAGTAATACAAACCAGTAAAAACTAGATTGTGATTCTGTTTCCTTTTTTATGGAAAAATTATAGCAAATTTTGATTCCTACTGCTGCCATGACTATAAATAGTTCTTCAATACAGTAGTACCTCAGGATACGAAATTAATCCGTTCCGAAACTGAGATCGTATCATGAAAATGTTGTAAGGTGAATCATTTTTTCCCATATGGTTACATATGTAAAACCATATGGGAAAAAACGAAACCCATTCCAAAACGAAAAACACACTCAAATTAAAGCTAAATAGTACATTGAAAAAAAAAACTTTAGTAAGGAAAACACCAAAAAATGCATTTTGTAGTTGTAAATGTATAAATAACCATAATAGAATAATACAGGTATACCTCGCCTTACGTCGGTAATTGGTTCCAGGAGAACGACGTAAGTCGAATTTACTTGTCTCCGAATCTACTTGTCACTAGGCTAAACCGTAAATTACCATTCCCAGTTCTGTATTTTATTTATTAATGCATTTTTAATAACATATGGTTAATAAAAATCTATTTTAAGCTTACAAACAAATAAATTTTAGTTTTTAATATAGTACAAAAAAAAGTAATCTAAATTTACGAATGCATGTACTGTAAATACAGTACATACTTGCATATATTTTAATATGATTTAATGTGCTTTAAACGTTTTTCGAGTGATATTACGACTTCAATATTTGTGGCGGACAGACGTAAAGTCGAATAAAATGACTTAAACTTAAACTTGAATAAAATGACTTAAAGTCGAATAAAATGACTTAAACTTGATTTTTATTTTTCCATATACTTTTTTAACAAGCGACATATAATCGGGAACGACGTAACTTGAAACGACGTAAGTCGAGGTATGCCTGTAATTGATAAAAAAAATGTAGTTTTATTTGCACTTTACCTTTGAGGATAGACGACGGTGGAGGTGTAAACTGGTGACGGAGGAGAGGGAGAAGGGAAATGATACTAAAACTTACCTTACATAACATAATGTAGCAATAACTCAAAAATAACTTAACACTAATTTTTTTATCTTTTGTTTTATATTTTCTTTTTAAAATTTTTTATTCACTGCTTTTTGCTTTCTTTCCTTCACTTCCACCAGCAGTTTC